CTTCCGTAGTGATACTGCCTCGGAAACCCAAGGAGGGGTCGCTATGAGTCGGGGCCGACTCGACGGCACATAACAACAACAACAACATAACATTTATAATAAAGTATTACATTATAATACTTTGTCTTTTTCTGCTGCCTTTTGAAAACTTGTTCATCTTTTACTTCATTTCTTCCATTTGCTTTAGCTATTCTACATTCAAGAGCAATTTCAAAGTCTCTTTTGACATCCGTTTTGCTCTTTTTTAATAACCTTTTGCTTTCTTCATGTCTGATGTCTTTGATGCCACCTCACAACTTGTATGGTCTTTAGTCATTAGTGTTCAATGCTTCAAATCCATACTTGAGATGAGTATATTCAGGTGCAATATACTCAAGGTTGTACTTGAGTCTCTCCCTGGACTTGTTTTAAGGAGATCTGGTGGCATAATGCCTAAAGCATTTGACTGCTAACTAGAAGGTTGATGGTTCAAACCCACCAGCCACTCCTTAGAAAAAAGACAGGGCAATCTACCTGTCAAGATTTAGTCTCAGAAACCCAGTGGGGGCTGCTTTGAGGCAGAATTGACTTGATGGCAGTGGGTTTGGTTTGGACTTTTTTTTCAGCTCCTTCTTAATCCTGCATATGAACAACTGATGGTCTCTTCCATAGTCAGCCCCTGTCACTATTCTGACTGGTATCTTGAGATGTTCTGTTTTTCCCATAGATGTAGTCAGTTTGACTTTTGTGTATTTCATCTGGTGAGGTCTACATGTATTTATGTCTACATTGCTATCTATGTTGTTGAAAAAAGTTATTTCCAATGAATAAGCCATTGGTGTTGCAAAATTCTATCATGTGATCTCCAGCATCGTTTCTATCACCAATGCTGTATTTTTCAACTACTGAACCAATTTTATTTACAACTTTCACATTCCAATTACCAGTGACATTGGTGAGGTAATATATCTAAATCTCTAGATGATTTTGTAAGCAGAAGCACCCTGTGCTTAGTTCAAGCTCTGCTTTTGGCAGTGAGAAAACTTCACAGGTGAAGAGTGACTTGTACCAGGTTTCTGCAAAATTGAACTTGAATCTTACTGCCTCTGGTTCAGTTCTCATTCAATTATTCCAATGTGTGACTGATGAGAGACGTTTTCATCATTGCCTCATTTTTGTTATTTTTCAGCAGGAATGAGAGTTGGGGTGATGAAAAGATGTAAAAATGGCCAGGTTGTTGTCAACACCCTATTTGTAAGAGAAGTTAGGACCTCTCTTTTCTAGGAAGGGGTCAGATCATGTGATCAGAATTATGCATGGCCTATAATCTCATAAGACAATGAGTGAAATCCAGAGGAAGACTGTTCAGCATCCTGTGCCTCAAGTTTTCCTTGTCAGGCCAATTTGTCATGCATCTGCTGTGTGTCATATACTTTAAAACGAAAGATCTAGTATGAATAACTCAGTGAGTTTTATTATACACCCATGATTGTGGAAACAAGGCCAATGGATTGGAGGAAAAGGAGGAATTTTTCTCAGATGTAGGGTCTCTGAAGCTCCATGGGAAGGCAGAGAAGCAGTTTAGCTGCTCACCCAACCTCCAAGATGGGGCAGGAGGAAGGGAGGGATCAGGTGGTCAGTCCTGGGTTTAGGCCAGATTTGAGGGAGGGATATTTGAGTTGGAATACTGGTGGAACTACTCCCAGAGTGATACCTAACCATGTACTCTGCATGTTGAGTAATTGGGATCTAAGCTACATCACCCGGGCCACCTGACTTTCAGATTAGGTTAGGATTTTGGCCAGCTTTGGATAAATGAACTCCGGATCAGTGAACAAAGAATATCCCTTAGATCATTTGGTGGGGACCCAAGAGACTCAAAGCCACTTTGGTTTTAGTTCCTTTACATTCCTTTCTTATTTAAGGTATTACTTTCCATATAAAATGCACTGATAAGTAGAGCAATGTTCTTTCAGACAAGTATCTGAGGCAAGAAGGTAAATAAATACCTCCCCATGGCTGTGGAGCTACCAAGCAGAGCCTCAGACCCTCAGACAACAGCACACAGGTGGGGTCAGTGCACACACAGAACTTTGGTTTCATTTAAAATTCTTCCCTCCTTTGGCTGTTTTGTTATTTTTTTGGTGAATCAATACAAGAGGCAAACTATTTAGAAACTCAGCACCCCAATAGTTTATTTCTTGTTCAAGGAATGACCAAATGGTTTTATTGCATTTACTGTTTGTGTGTGTGTAGGCATGTATACACAAGAACAGCAATTTTAGTTATAAAATCCTTCATTAGGGTTAGGGTAAGGGCTTCTTGGGAACTGAAATTGTAAAAATTTCATGGATGAAAAGGAGCAAAGGACCACACCTCACACTCCATTTCCTATCCTTACTGCTCATGGGTGGGATCTGACATACAAACAATACAAAAATACTTGGTTAGTTACTGGCTTTTGAATCCAGCTACAGCTACACACACTATAACCCAGATGCTTTCTCTTCCCTGAGCCTAGCTCAGCATAATTACTCTCATAGGAACAACTGCTGTTAGTTGCCCTCAAATCAGTTCTGACTCATGGTAACCCCATGTGTGCAGAGTTAGTTCTGTGCTCCATAGTGTTTTCAAGGCTGAGACCTTTTAGAAGCAGATCACTAAGCTTATCTTCCAAGGTGCCTCTGGGTGGATTAGAACTGCCAACCTTTCACTAGCAGTGAGGCACTTAAAATTGTGCCACACAGGAACTCCCCCCAACCAAGAAACAAGAAACACATGTATTTGCCTCCTTTTTACCTAATTAGATGAGGTCGCATGACTGCTTCAAGTTTCACTATAAACGATCACTCCCAGTCCAGAACTGTAAGCTCTAAACTTTAAAGGCTAATATTTAAGATTCTTCCATGCAGAGTTTGCACACTGTGTTCTTTTAAGATCTATCTATATGGAAGCAAAGTGACAACAGGAACTCGAAAGAGTAAATAGGAATCTTGGGGGGCAGGTAGTTTATGTTGATGGGGGAGGAACAACTCAGAAAAGGAGGGTGAGAATGGTTGAACAATTTGAAAATGTAATTCATGTCATTGAATTGTATATGTAGAAACAGCTGAATTGATGTATGTTTTGCTATGTATATGCTCAACAACAAAATGATAAAAACAATGTGTGTGT